AAAGTCAAGGAAAAAGTGGACTTAAATGAAATACTAGACCAGATGGACTTAATAGATAAATATAGAACTTTCCATCCAAAAACAGCAGAATACACGTTCTTCTCAAGTGCACATGGAGCATGCTCAAAGATAGACCATATGTTCAGAAACAAGGCAAGCCTCAATAAATTTAAGAAGATTGAAATCATATCAAGCATCTTTTCTGACCACAATGCTATGAAACTAGAAATCAACTACAAAAAAAAAGCTTAGAAAGTCACAAATATATGGAGACTAAACAACATGCTACTGAACAACCACTGGATCAATGAAGAAATCAAAAAATACCTGGAGACAAATGAAAATGAAAACACAACACACCAACTCTTATGGGATGCAGCAAAAGCAGTACTAAGAGGGAAATTTATAGCAACACAGGCCTACCTTAAAAAACAAGAAAAATCTCAAATAAACAAGCTTATGCTATACCTAAAACAGCTAGAAAAAGAACAAAGTCCAAAGTCAGTATAAGGAAGGAAATAATAAAAATCAGAGCAGAAATAAACAAAATAGAAACTTAAAAAACAATAGAAAGGATCAATGAAACTAACAGCTGGATCTTTGAGAAGATAAACAAAATTGACAAACCCTTAGCCAGACTCACTAAGAAAAAAAGAGAGAAGACTCAAATAAATAAAATCAGAAATGAAAGAAGAGAAATTACAACAGACACCACAGAAATACAAAGAATTATGAGAATACTATACAAAAGCTATACATCAAAAAAAAAAAAAATTGGATAACCTAGAAGAAATGGATAAATTCTTAGAATCATACAACTTTCCCAAACTGAATCAAGAAGAAATAGAGAATCTGAACAGATCCATCACAAGTAAGGAGATTAAAACAGTAATCAAAAACCTCCCCAAAAAACAAAATTCCAGGACTAGATGGCTTCACTGGTGGATTCTACCAAAGATTCAAAGAAGACTTAATAATACCTATTCTTCTCAAACTATTCCAAAAAATCAAGAGGATGGAACACTTTGTAACTAATTTTATAAGGCCAGTATTATCTTGATACCAAAACCAGACAAGCACAACACAAAAAAAGAAAACTACAGGCCAGAATCGCTGATGAACATAGATGCAAAAGTCCTTGGCAAGGGGCCATCCCCATGGTGTACTGGTTGGGTTTGGTGCACTCCGCTTTGGTGGCCCAGGTTCCTTGGATCCTGGATGTGGACCTACACCTCTCATCAGCCATGCCGTGGTGGCAATCTGCATATAAAATAGAGGAGGATTGGCACACATGTTAGCTCAAGGCAAGTCATCCTCAGCAAAAAAAAAAAAAAAAAAAATCCTCAACAAAATATTACCAAATTGAATACAACAATACATTAAACGGATCATACAACACGATCAAGTGGGATTTATTCCAGGGATGCAGGGATGGTTCAACATCTGCAAATCAATCAATGTGATACACCACATTAACAAAAGGAAGAATAAAATTCACATGATCAGGGGCCGGCCCAGTGGTGCAGTGGTTAAGTGTGCACGCTCTGCTTTGGTGGCCCATGGTTCTCAGGTTTGGATCCTGGGTGCACACTGACGCACTGCTTGTCAAGTCATGCTGTGGGGACGTCCCATAATAAAGTAGAGGAATATGGGCATGGATGTTAGCCCAGGGCCAATCTTCCTCAGCAAAAAGGGGAGGATTTGCATTGGATGTTAGCTCAGGGCTGATCTTGCTTACCAAAAAAAAAAAAAAAAACCAAACACATGATCATCTCCATAGACACAGAGAAAGCATTTGACAAGATCCAACATCCATTTATGATACAAACTCTCAATAAAATGGGTATAGAAGGAAAGTACCTCAACATAATGAAGGCCATATATGACAAACCCACAGCCAACATCATACTCAATAGTGAAAAACTGAAAGTTATTCCTCTGAGAACAGGAACAAGACAAGGATGCCCACTCTTACTCAACATAGTACTGGAAGTTTTAGTCAGAGCAATTAGGCAAGAAAAAGAAATAAAAGGGATCCAAATTGGAAAAGAAGAAGTAAAAGTGTCACTATTTGTGGATGACATGATTCTATGTATAGGAAACCCTAAAGAATTCACCAAAAAACTATTAGAAATAGTCAAAAAAATACAGTAAAGTTGCAGGGTATAAAATCCACATACAAAAATCAGTTGCATTTCTATACATTAATAACGAACTAGCAGAAAGAGAAGTCAAGAATACAATCCCATTTACAATTGCAACAAAAAGAATAAAATATCCAGGAATAAATTTAACCAAGGAGATGAAAGACCTATACCCTGAAAACTATTAGACATTTTTGAAAGAAATAAAAGAAAACATAAAGAAATGGAAAGATATTCTATGTTTATCGATTGGAAGAGTAAACATAGTTAAAATGTTCATATTACCTAATGCAATCTACAGATTTCAATACAATCTCAATCAGAATGCCAATGACATTCATCATGGAAATAGAAGAAAGAATCCTAAAATTTATATGGAACAAATAGAGACCCCAAATGGCCAAAGCAATCCTGAGAGAAAAGAACAAAGTTGGAGGTTATCACACTCCCTGATTTCAAAATATACTACAAAACTATAGTAATCAAAACAGCAGGGTACTGGCAGACAAAGATACACAGAGCAGGAACAGAATTGAGAGCCCAGAAGTAAAACCACACATTTATGGACAGCTAATCTTTGACAAAGGAGTCAAGAACATACAATGGAGAAAGGAAAGTCTCTTCAATAAATGGTGTTGGGGAATAGCCACATGCATAAGAATGAAAGTAGACCGTTATCTTACACCATACACAAAAACTAACTCAAAATGGATTAAAGACTTGAATATAAGACCCAAAACCATAAAACTCTTAGAAGAAAATATAGGCAGTACACTCTTTGATATTGGTCTTATCAGTATCTTTGAATATCATGTCTATTCAGGCAAGAGAAACAAAAGAAAAAATAAACAAATGGGACTACAACAGACTAAAAAGCTTCTGCAAGGCAAAGGAAACCATCAAAAAAATGAAAAGACAACCCACCAACTGGGAGAAAATATTTACAAATCATATATCCAACAAGGGGTTAATTTCCAAAATATATAAAGAACTCATACAACTCAACAACAACAAAAAATGAACAACCTTATCAAAAAATGAGCAGAGGATATGAACAGACATTTTTCCAAAGAAGATATACAGATGGCCAACAGGCACGTGAAAAGATGTTTAACATCACTAATTATTAGGGAAATGCAAGTCAAAACTACAATGAGATATCACCTTACACATGTCAGAATGGCTATAATTACCAAGATAGGAAATAACAAATGTTGCAGAGGATGTAGAGATATGGGAACCCTCACACACTGCTGGTGGGAAGGCAAACTGGTGCGGCCACTATGGAAAACAGTATGGAGACCCCTCAAAAAGTTAAAAATAGAAATATCATATGATCCAGCTATTCCACTACTGGGTATTTATCCAAGGAACACGAAATCAATAATTCAAAAAGATTTACGCAGCCCTATGTTCATCGCTGTATTATTCACAATAGCCAAGATGTGGAAGAACCCCAAGGGCCCATCAACAGATGAATGGATAAAGATCTGTATATCCACTGTATATATATGCAGTGGAATACTACTCAGCCATAAAAAAGATAAAAATCATGCTATTTGCAACAACGTGGATGCACCTTGAGAGTATTACACTAAGTGAAATAAGTCAGATAGAGAAAGGCAAATACCATATAATTTCACTCATATGTGGAAGATAAACAAACACAGATAAGTAGAATAGATTAGTGGTTAGCAGAGAAGGGGGTGGGAGGAGGGTGAAAGGAGTAAAAGGGCACATATATATGGTGATGGATAAAAACTAGACTATTGGTGGTGAACATGATGCAATCTATACAGAAACTGAAATATAATAATGTACACCTGAAATTTATACAATGTTATAAGCAAATATGACCTCAATAATAAAAAAAAAAGACCAATGTTGCCAGGGGTTAGGAGGAAGAGAGGGATGAATAAGGAAAGCATAGAGAATTGTTACGGCAGTGAAACTACTCTGTATGATACTATAATGGTGTATATATTTCATTATACATTTATCTAAACCCAAAGAATGTACAATGCCAGGAGTACACCCTAATGTAAACTACTGACATGGATGATTATGATGTATCATATTAGGTTTATCAGTTGTAACAAATGTATCACTCTGGTGGGCGATGGTGATAATGGGGAGGCTATGCATGTATTGGGGTCAGGGAGTATATGGGAAATCTCTGTACCTTCTGCTCAAAATCGCTGTGAACTTAAAACTTCTCTAAAAACTAAAGTCTATTAAAAGCAAAAGCAAAAATATAATAGCTACTCTTTTAATATCCCAACAAGCTCTCCTTTACCCTCTATGGCTACTGGAAATGTTGAGAGTAGACTACCCAACCTCAGATCTTCCTAGTTTCATCTTGCTACCATGACCTAATTAGGCTTGTGACCTGTAACTTTAATGTACCTCTCCTACCTTATCCTCATTCTGCTTAGCCTCATTTTGTAATGGACGCCATTGTGGACCTGTAACTCTAGGCTGGTTGACTCTGTTTTCTCACTTACTGCACCCATCTTGACTTATTGGCCTGACATACCTGTTTCTCTGCATTGTCCTTCAGGAATCTCGCTAGTGCTCACTGTCTTATGAATGACAAAGTGAGGTCCTCCACTTGCTTCCACATGAATAAATGACTGGAGATGTACATTCACCAGCTCTAAAGGAAACTGCACATCTAATCTTTTACATTTTGGCTAAATTTTGAAAAGTAAAATGACTATTTAAACCATAATCTATGCATTCTATCAGTGCCATTTTGTGCCACACTTTTGCTCTGTACAATTAGCATCTTCTAATATATAGTATTTTTTACTAGTTGTTGGAGGTACACTACTTAACACTTTACTATGCACTATCTCTGTAATTATTTTAGTCATGTGTTTTATATGTACAATTAATCAGTAATCTTTGGGGAGAAATGCCTTTCATATCACTAATGGTTTCTAGCACACTACAGATATAACAGAAATTCAGGAAATGGTGCTTGTTGACTGATTCATTAAAGTGCCTAACTTTAGGAACATTAAAGTCAGTGTTAGTACATGTCATTCCTTCCTTGAGTTCTTGGTGTTGTACGAATAAGTGATTTTGAAAGAAATCAAAATTTCCAAGATTTTTTTTTCTATCTTGGTAAAAATTAAATATAAATATCTAAATGATTTAAAATTTTCTATATTTTCTCTGGATTTCTTTTTAAATCTCTGAAAGATGTTCCCACTAAAGAAGATGGGATATCCAGAATTTCTAGTTTAGTATATGCATATGCATGTGTAGCGGGAGGAATAGGGATAGAGGGATGGGGAGTGCTTTTTTTTTCTTTTTACTATGTAAGCATATGTTATCTTTCACCCACAGTCTTCAGAGCAGCATAAAGCTAGATTATTTGTCGCTTTGGAATGTGACATCACTCCAAAGTGTGTCCATCATTCTTGTTTGGTTGCTCCTCCTTATTTTTAGTTAGATGGGGGGTTATTTGCATAGAACTTTGCTGGTTGGATGCTTCAGCTTGAAGATTCTTGTCTTTGGTAATACTTGCATCCTTCTCAAAACTTGAGAGTATAGTCTCCCATTTGCTGCTGACAGGGTTCATGTCTTTAGTCTTCGTGGCCTTGATTTGAGAATGTTTTTTCCTCTTCCTGGGCCCTTTGAGAGGTGACAAACTTTCAAATGACCTCTGGGACACACACTGGAGCCTTTCCGAAGAGCTCAGCATAAGATTCCTTTGGCTTATAAAAGGAGGATTTCTGGGTGGTGTCCAAGAAGTGCTGTATCTCTTTGTATTTATGTAAGTAGCTGGCTTTAGTCTAGAAAAGAAATGAAATGTGTGAGTTTTTGCCCAACATGTACCCCAGGTATCTGTAATCCTTAAGTATTTGTCATAGTATAAGTTATATTTTTCCTTTGGTTAGTTCATTCTCCCTTAAGACTTTTACCATTATTTCTATGAGAATGATCTAAGTCTTCATCTCTGGTCATGAGTTTTCAGCACTACTCCAGTCTTGTATTTCTAAATACCTAGAGAATATGTTCATTTGGATACCTGCCCTGACCCCAGGCTTCCTGATATAATGGCCACTCTGGGCCTCAGCTCCTTACCCTACCCATCTAGTTGAAGTAAATGTTCTCTAAAATTCCACTTTGCTCTAGAAATCTACTTTTTTTTTAATTCTATTAGAATGAACTCAGTATACATGCTGTAAAGTTTTTTCTATCATCAGTAACAAGATAAATAGGAGTCCAAGAGAGGGAAGTTTTCCTCAAGAGGGAGGTTTTGTAAATTACTAATTGCAGCCACTTAAAGTCTCTCAGTTTTTCTTTAGAATTCCATTCTTTTCCACAAAATTTCAACTATATTTTTAATTAAAGTTTTAATTTTTAGATAATTGTAGATTTACCTGCAGTTAGAAGAAATAATAGAAAGAGATCCCATATCCCCTTCACCCAGTTTCCCCCAAATGTAATATTTTGCAAAATATCACAATCAAGGTATTGCCATTGATATAATCAAGATACAGAACAGTTCTCTCATATTTTCCTTTTATAGTCATACTTTCCTCCTTCCCCACCCCTCCTTAAGTCCTGGCAATCATCACTCTGTTGTCCGAATTGTAAAATTATGTTATTTCAAGAATGTTATATAAATGGAATCATACCGTATGTAATCTTTTGGGATTGACATTTTTCATCTAGCATAATTCTCTAGAGATTCATCCAGGTTGTTTTGTGTTATCAGTAGTTCAGTCATTATTATTGCTGAGCAGTAGTCCATGGCATGGACGTACCATAGTTTGTTTAATGATTCATCCATTGAAGGATATGTGGCTTGTTTCCAGTTTATGGCCATTACAAATAAAGCTGCTAAAAACATTTGTGTACAGGTTTTTTTGTGAACTTAAGTCTTCATTTCTCTGGGATTAACGCCTGGGAAAGCAATTGCTGGGTCATATGGAAGTTATATATTTGGTTTTTTAGGAAACTGCCAAACTGTTTTCCAGAGTGTATAATTATACATTCCCACCAGCAATACATGAGTGATCCAATTTCTCTGCATCTTCATTATCATTTCATGTTACCACTATTTTTTATTTTAGCCATTCTGATAGGTGTGTAGTGATATCTTACTGTGGTTTTAATATTCATTTCTCTAATGGCTAATGATATGGAACATCTTTTCATGTGGCTATGTATCATCTGTATATTCTGTTTGGTGAAATGTCTATTCATGTCTTTTGCCCATTTTTTAAATGAAATATTTGTTTTCTTACCATTTAATTTTGAGATTTCTTTAATCTAGATACTAGTCTCTTGTTTATGTGGTTTGCAAATATTTTCTACTATTTTATAGCTTGTCTTTTTATCCCTCTAACAGGGTCTTTTGAAGGGCAAACATTATTATTTTGATGAAGTTCAATTTATCAATTTTTCTTTTATGGATCATGATTTTGGTGTAAAGTATGACTTTTTCTCAACTCTAGATCCTGAAGATTTTTAATTTTTTTCTAAAATTTTTATAGATGTATGTTCTGCCATTAAGTCCATGATCCATTTAGAGCTATTTTTTGTATAAGATATGAGATTAGGTCAAGGTTCATTTTTTTGCCTATGGATGTCTAATTACTCCAGCAATGTTGGTTGAAAAAGCTATCTCTCCTCCATTGAATTTACACTTTTGTCAAAATTAGTAAAGCATATTTATATGGGTCTATTTTGGGGTTCTCTGTGAGGTTCTGTTGATATATATGTCTATTCCTCCTCCAATACTACACTCTCTTGATTACTGTAGTTATATAAAAGTACTTGAAATCATATAGACTGATTCTTTCCACTTTATCCTTCTTTTTCACAATCATTTTTGCTATTTTAGTGCCTTTGTATATAAATTTTAGAAGAATCTTATCTATATCTAAAAAATCTTGCTGGGAATTCGATAGGAATTACATTATCTATTTGGAAAGAATTAACATTTTTACTGAGTTGAGTCTTCTAATCCACGAACATGCTATGTCTCTGCATTCATTTAGATCTTCTTTAATTTCCTTTTTGTTTTTATGTTTTATAGTTTTCAGCATACAAGCCCTGTACATATTTTGCTAGATTTACAACTAAGTATCATTTTTTTTGATAGATTGTAAATAGTATTGTATTTTTTACTTTGATGTCTACACCTTCATTGCTTATATATAGAAATATAATTAATTTTATATGTTTATCTTATATTTTGAGACCTTGTTGAAATTGCTTATAGTTACAGGAGGTTAACTTTTGTAATTCCTTGGGGTTTCTACACAGATAATAATGTTCTTTGCAAATGGGAACAGTTTTCCTTCCTCCCTCCCTCCCTCCCTTCTTACCTTTCTTCCTTCCTTCCTTCATCTGTATGCCTTTTATTTATTTTTCTTGCCTTATTGCAGTGGCTAGAACTTCCAGCATGATGTTGAATAAGAGTGGTGAGATTGGACTTTATTAAGTTGAGCAAATTTCCCTCTAATTTTATTTTCTGAGAATTTTTACCATGAATAAGTGCTGAATTTTGTCAAATGCTTTTTCTGTGCCAATTAATATGATCACATGATTTTTCTTCTTTAGTCTGCTAGTATGGAGAATTATATTGATTGACTTTTGGATAATGAACAAGCCTTGAATTCCTGAAGTGGACCCCACTTGGTCATGGTGTATAAGTCTTTTGATACAGTGCTAAATTTTATTTGTTAATATTTTGTTAAGAATTTTTGCATCTATATTTACAAGGGATATTATTCTTTAGTTTTCTTTTTTTGTACTGTCTTTGTCTGGTTTTGGTCTCAGGCTAGTAGACGCTTCATAAAATAAACTAAGAAGTGCTCCCTCCTCTTCTATTATCTGGAAAAAAATGTGTATAATTGGTGTTAATTCTTCTTTAAATATTTGGTAAAATTCTCCTGTGAAACCATCTGGGGGATTTCTTTTTTGAGAGTTTTAAAATTATGAATTTGATTTCCTTCATAGTTATAAGAGAATTCAAATATTCTATTCCATATTGTTTGAGTTGTGGTAGTTTGTGTTTCCTTTAAGAAATGATCCATTTTTTTAAGCTGTCAAATTTGTGTATTTGTAGTGTTTCCTATTACCTTTTTGATGTCTGCAGGACCTTTAGTGGCATCCTCTGTTTGATTCTCAGTACTAACAATTTGTGTCTTCTTTATTTCTTTGACAGTCTTGCTACAAGTTTGTCAGTTTTTACTGATCTTTTGAAAGAACCAATTGTTTCACTGACTTTCTATGTAATTTTTCTGTCTTCAATTTCATTGATTTCTGCTCTTTATTATTCCCTTTCTTTTGCTGGTTTTGGGTTTACTTTGTTCTTATTTTTATAGGTTCTTGAGGTGGGAGCTTAGATTATTTATTTGAGACTTTTCCTCTTAATGTATGCATTTAGTTCTATATATTTCCCTCTCAGCACTGTTTTAGCTCCATCCCACAAATTTCAATGTATTGTTTTAATTTTCATTCTTTCAATATATGTTTTTATTTCCTTGAGACTTTATCTTTGATTCATGAATTGTTCAGAAGTGTGTTCTTTAGTTTTCAAGTGTTTGAGGGTTTTTCTGTTATCTTTGTGTATTGATTTCTAGGTTGATTCCATTGTGGTCAGAGAATACACTTTATATGATTTAAATTCTTTAAAATATGTTGAGATTTGTTTTATGGCCAGGATATGGTCTATCTTGATACATGCTCCATGCATATTTGAAAAGAATGTGTATTCTGCTATTGTTGAGTGGCATGCACTATAAGTGCCAACTATCTTCTGTTGGTCCATGGTGTTGAATTCTTTTGTATCCTTGCTGATTTTGGTGGTTTAGTCAGCTGTGGATCTATTTCTCCTTTCAGTTTTTGCTTCACATATTTTACAGTTCTGTAGTTTTGTGCATACACATATAAAATCACTATGTGTTCTTACCGGATTGACCTTTTTATCATTATATAATGCCCCTCTCTGTCTCTGATAATTTTCTTTGCTGTGAAATCTACTTTATCTGATATTAACATAATCACTCCTGCTTTCATTTATTAATGTTTGCATAATATATCTTCTTCCATCATTTTACTTTCAACCTGCCTATAGTGTCATATTTGAAATGAGTTTCTCGTGGACTGCATATCATTGAACAATATTTTTAAATCCATTCTTCCAATCTCTCTTTTTAATTGTTGTATTTAGACCATTGACATTTAATGTAATTATCTTAGGACTTAAGTCTGCCATTTTTTCGGTTTCTGTTTTTCTTGTTTGTTTGTTTGTTTGTGTTCTTCTGTTTTCTTTTTCCTGCTTTCCTGTGAATAGTGTGAATATTTTTAAGAATTCCATTTATATTTATCTATAGTGTTTTTGAGTGTATCTATTTGAATAGCTTTTTGAGTGGTTGCTCTAGATATTACATTACATGTGCAAAACATCATATCTAATGGTGTTTTTATTTTACCAGTTTGAGTGAAGTATAGAAATCTCACCTCCCGTTTTTGTCCTTTTACCTTCTCATATTTATAATTGTCTGAAACATCTCCTTTACATACATTTAAAATCACATTAGTGTTATAATTTCTGCTTCAAACATCAAAAAATTTAGAAAACTTGGGAGTCCAGAAGATGGCAGTGTAGGAGGATCCTGAACTTGCCTCCACCCATGTACACAACAAACCTACAACTACTGTGGAACAAATTCCTCTGAGAGACTTCTGGAAACTGGACAAAAAGAACCTCTACAACAAGAGACAACACAGGGAGGATTAGAAGAGGCAGAGCCCTGCTGAGGAAAAAAAAATA